GCCCTGGAGTGAAGGTTGTCCATGGGTTTCGAGCATGGGAAGGCCTGCCCGGATTTTCGGGCTGAGTCTAGGGTTCGTCGACAGTGCAGGGGGCTTATACACTAGAACGGGATTTAGGGCTTAAGGAGCTATTGCGGTATGACTTTGTCACAAGGAATACTAGTGGCAATGAATCTCAGGTTTGTATGGAAACAAACAAACAACCCCCCTGTGCAGCACAGTTGCACAACCCGAAGAGAAAGTCCGGATTTTTCTTGTTTTTGGGGGGAGGTGTGGGTCTTGATATGAGGGATTTGGGATACATTATAACGTAAGATTCTGAGGGCACAGAGTGGTAGTACTAATCAGCAATCATCGGGATCCCTATGTTATGCGGATTCGTTGGCGCGCAGGAGGTTCTAGGTTCAGGATGCAGGGTCTGTTGCCCGAACTCCTGAAGGGTTTAGGGTTTAGGGTTTCAGGCCTCGCTTCGCGCCCTAAGGGCATAAGCATATCGTAAATATGCTCTAATCCTAGAGTGTCCATGTAGGCATGTGGGAGCCGCGTCTTTTCCAAATAAGCTCATGGACTTTAGAAAAATCCTTTCCTAAACCACAAACCGTTTACTGATCTCCATTTTCAACAAGTTTAAAACAGCCTTCCAATCCAAGAACCCCTCCAAAGGAAAATCCCTATAGTAAATGCAATAAACCTCATCAGACCCTTTGCTAAACCCTATCTTACAAACCACAGAGCAACCCTCGAATGCCTAAAAAGAATCTTAAACTGGACCCCCCCCCGCCCCCTCGGAAGACATACCCGTGCAAACGAGGGTGCTGACGATAGCTGTGGAGGCTGCCATCCTGTCAGGTGGCCAAGTCAGCTGAAAGTCCGAGTTAAGAGGCTACATAAAGGCCTGAATACTGAGTTCGGGGCATTGTAATTGTGATAAGGAAACCTAGGGAATATAGAAATATTACGGTGGCTTCTTCCGACCCCTGTACTACGTAAGGGTTCTTCACGGTCTAGGTTCTAGGGTTCACGGTTTAAAGGGTTACGTTGAGGTGAGTTCCACGGGGAGCCAGGGGTTTAGGGTTTTGGGGTTTGCGGCTTCCGGGTGTCCTAAGGGCTTAACTAGGGTCTTTGGGGTTCTTACTTCCCCAATAAGCCACAGAAACAAGAGGTTAATTTTACCATTGCTACTGACCTATAAAAAAATCTGAACAGCTTAAAGGTTGGGTATTGGGGAACTCACGAACGGTTTTGTGGGCGTTTTAGGGGTGCAGGACATAAGGCTCTCGGGCTTTTCAGTCGTGAGGGCTAGGAGTTAGGGTTTAGGGAGTTTAGGGTTTAGGGGTTCAGGATTTAGGGGTTCAGGGTTTAGGGTTTAGGGGAACCGTGAGGGATATAAACCCTCTCAATAAGGTCCGTATTTTAAGGGGTCTCCCCAATATACTAATACTACCTTGGAAGGGTTCAAGGGTTGCAGAAGCCCCAGAAGCACAGCTGCGCAGCCCATTGGTCGACTATCACTAGTGCTTAGAGGTTCATGGGTAGTAAAAAGGAAGGCTCCCTTAAACAGGGGTACATACACTTATATTTTGCCTATACCCATGAACCTCCACGCACTCATAAGCCCAAACCCTAAGCCCTAAGCACTGCCTGGAAAACCCGGTAGCCGGAAATAACAGGCGACTCGCGAAAGGCTGCTGTTGGAACTCAGATTGGGCAATTTTCGGTGGGGATTCCTTCGACGGGTCAGTGCTCTCAAGTCCAACAGAAATCAATGTCGGACACGCGATCCTCAAGTATCTCTCGAAAGTCTGCATGGCCACCAACTTCGGAAAGACCTTTGTCGTGACAACAGAAACATGCGCAGAATCATTTCAGCATGTGCCTTCAGATTTGCTGGCAGGCATCGGTTACATCCTAAACTCATGAACCCTAAACCCTGAACCCTAAACCATGCCCATTTCTCCCACTAGCCGTAGGCCGTGACCCAGTCAAGAGCAAAGCGATGTGGCGGTGTTCTCTCCCAGAGGCTCATCATCCCCACTCCCAAAGGCTCCATGTACCTTTATAGTAGATACTTAGGCCTTAAAGGGGTCCCTATGTAGGTACTTTAAGGCCTAAGTATCTACTATAAAGGTACATGGAGCCTTAGGGACTTCCTGAGCCAGACGGAACGCTGAGCTTTTTCTGCGGTGTAGGGTTTAGGGTTTCCCTAAGGCTCCATGTACCCATATAGTAGATACTTAGGCCTTAAGGTACCTATATAGGGACCCCTTTGAGGCCTAAGTATCTACTATAAAAGTACATGGAGCCTTTGGGTTTAGGGCTTGGGGCTGCTATGGAAGTACCCGGTTTTTTGTCCAACCCGAACTGCCATGCATTCTCACCGTCCGTAACGTAGGCCTTGCCAGCGTCCATCACGTAGAGGGCACCACACCCCGCCTTGTCTAGCAGAATGCTGGAGAAACAAGTCCCACGAACTATTCGTCCATCTGCGTTGATTCCGCCAGTGGCGAAAGAGTCCAGGGCCAGAAGCCAGGTAGTACAATAAACAATCCAGGTCAGCTTGAGCTGCCACACGGCATCTTTAAACAGAATCCCGGATGCTCATACCGCTTTCATGGAACGGCTTGCTGCCTGAAAGCAACGGAAATTACCGTTCAACACGAAGGCCGAGCTTCGCTTTGAACTTTGATACGTTCGAAGTTAAACTGTCGGGGCCATATCATTAGAATAGGGCTTGGGCCCAACAGTATATAGGGTAGGTATATGAATCTAAACGAACCCTATAAACCCTAAAC